TTAATAAAAATTGTAACAACCCCGCGAGGAAAATAAATGTAATCGTTAAGAATTATCTAAATTCCAATTCAAATTATATCACAATTTCTTTTCGAATCCTTCCCTTTTCCCCCTTCATTTCTCTTATCCGCTCTCGGTCCGTCCGCGATAAAGAGATTCAGTTCTCTGATCGAAAAAGGACCACTCGTCGTACGTCGGTACACGCGTAAAGCGATCCTTCTGGTCGTTGACTCGTAACTCGACTTGCTAGTACGATCGAGACCTTACGTCGTGTTGCGTTCTCTACCAGGACGTAATATCCAGACGTAACAATACTGTTAGTCAATAAGAGCTGTAACTTGTGGGACATACAATCTTACGATGAGACACAGCACGATGACACGCAAACTAATGAACATTATATCCGCTGGGAATACGACAATATGTTCGAATGCGGGGGACAGTATCCCTTAATCGTCGCTGCTATTATATAATTACGATAGTTGCATAAGGAATGGTAAGAAAATAATAAAAAAGAAATGGCAAGAGAGGAAAGTAACTTACGATAATAAGCAGCAATAAACGACTCCGCGTCATTAATAAATTAATGAGATGGGGTTGAAAGCTTGGGAGGGTTGCAAACCCGCGGCAATACGTTAACTACGGCCCGTAGTTCGCTACGATACATTAACCGTTGCATTTCGATCTGAATTTAATTATTTCTGAGATAGTGAAAAGCCAATGCACTCGTATTCATAGCACTTCTCTGTTGTGCTACTATATCAAGATACAAGGAGTGATATCTCAAAAATGTGCGCGCATTGAATCGAATCTCATGCATTCAACTTGTCCTTGCCGCATTACGCGTAAAATTAATATCAGTTATTAAATAAATAAAACCAATTAAATAAAACCAAGAAAGATCGCGTACTCGAAAAATCCAATTCGTGATAAAAATGTATGCGATTCCCGACTTGGACGAATGAAACTCTCGCGTCGCAGGATAAACGAATACGTTCACGTTGCTAAATGCAAATCGTCAATATCTGTCGTGAAATATAACTGTTCCTGAAACGTCTCGACCAGTCGTTCAAATACGATAACGAAGATGCAGATACTTTCATTCAATTTTTTCATATACAGCGTGAGTGGTATATGGCGACCTATCAAGTGGTCGTCGAGCTGCGCTAAGCTATTATACAATGCGTTCTCCTTCTGTACGATAGTCCAGATATACTTCTTGGTGCTGACCCAATTAATGGATCTCGTCCTTAACGTCAATAACATGGACGATTTCGTTAATAATTCTCTAGTGTTCGTGAGTGTTATTGTCGTTTCTTGCAAAGCCACAACCGTTATGTTACGTCGAAGCGCGATCATCAATTTGGCGGACATGTTACTGAGCGACCCGTGCAAACCTCGCGATGAGGATGAGCTGGCAATACAAGCGAAATTCGACAGATTTATCCGGTAGGTGCGCCTGATTAATTTCTACACTGAGAAAAAGTACTTGGAGATTTATTTGTGGTATGTAAAGTTTATTTCTGTGAAATATAAAGTTTATTTTTGTGAATAAACTTTACATTTCACAAATAAAATTTTAAAGTATCCTTTTCTCAATGCATGTGGTACAGGAAGAAAAAAGTTTGGTTGTATTAATATGAAACTTGGTTGTAATGAACTAACACATTTGGATTGAAGGAAACGGGATTCTTGGTTGTAAGAGACAAATTTGAGTCATAAGAACGACAAAACTGCGTTCTTTAGAATGCATTGGTTCCTTTATGAAAAATAAATTCACGTTAATATAATCAAATTTGTCTGTATGCAATTAACATTTTGAGTACCACCATGGCACTCAATATGTTAATCGCTACTAGAGTTGGGCATTAATAAATTAAAAATGTTATTCATATAAAATAATCAGCAAATAAATAATCAAAATTCATCAATCGCTACAAATAAAATTGCAAACAATTTCATCAATTGATGAAATTAATTATTAATTAAACACTGATGTGACTAATTATATACTGATTAATAATTAAATTTATCAATCGACGAAATTTTTTTTATTTTATATGGGATTAATTTTGATTATTGATTTGTCGATTATTTCAGTCAAAGAAAGTTTTAAACAATGTCTAACCGATGTCAGTATTATACTATAATGTTATTATAGTAATATACTATAAACTTATTATGTGTGTTATATGTAAAATATAAACAATTTGTGAAAATCGCAATTATTGCCGTTAATGAAGAACGAATAAACGAGAAAGAAATATATAAGCTATGAACTATATTTGTTTCATAGTATATTAATTATATTAATTATAATGATATATTTAATAGTAATTTTATTAGTGATACTAATCATTATCAGGAATAATTAAATATCATTAGTAATTTAATTATTAGTTAAGCTCTTGTACAGTCAATGAAAATAAACGAGGCAAAGTATTAAGTACCGTTATGTGTTTTCGTACATATCTAAACACGACCGAATTACGTTTTGCTTATTTTGTCCAAAGCTTATCATAAAACGTAATCTCGGATTTTCTGCATTCACAGGTCGTACACGATAAAGTATGTGATTCTGGCAATAGCTTCCGTGACGACTATCACGATGAGGAAGATATGGGACATCACACAGGGTCTTTTACCTTATAGAGTGTGGGTGCCTTATGACTTGAATAAATCCTCGATATTTTTTATCACGTCGATTCATCAGATTATCACTGTGTACCTCAGCACTTACATCAATGTCGGCACGGAAACCTCGATTTTTGGTTTCATTTTGCAAACGTGTGCCCAGCTGGATATTCTCAAGAGTCGTCTCAACAAATCGGTGATTAACCAGATAGCAGGCTACCAAGAGAATCGGCCGTTCTCGTTACCAAATAAGAGACAATCGACTATTTCGGAGCACATACGCCATCATCTCAGCATTTACACGTTAGTTACGTGTGCTACATTCGCATCACTAATGCTGCAATTCTAAGCAGAATTGTAAGTCTCGTAACTTGTTCTCGTAAAATTCGTCAGAACTTATACGTAGATTTACAAGTCTATGCAATATCATATGTCGTACAATCACTTATAAATATCGTAAATTACATGAAATCGTAGATATTTACGAGTAATTGTACGACATATTGCATAGACTTGTAAATCTACGTATAAGTTCTGACGAATTTTACGAGAACAAATTACGAGACTTACGATTCTGCTTAGAATTGCAACATAAGGTCCTTATTCTGTGAATTCTTTTTTATCAATAAAAGTCCTAGTAAGCAAAAAATCATTAATAGAACGTTATTGCAACGATATTTAGTAACATGCAAACGTTTCCTAATATTTAACGTTGTATCAACATTATTACGAATAACTTTGATATTTTAATATTTCTGAAACATTTTTGTAATATTCAAAGGCATCATATTATTCGATAATATTTTTGAAATATTTTTAAAATATTAAACAAAAATGCTTAAGAGATACGCATAAAACCAATACTTCAAGATGTTCATCTAATATTCTTTGTTTACGGGAGTGTCTCCAAATGTGGCTTACAAATCTTCCGATTGCCTTTTAGTCACAGTTAGAGATACGTTCGTCGACAGAAGAGATTTCAGAATACGGACCTAAAAGTCTTGTTGGCGAGAAGTTGTGTTTTACACCGAATTATTCTATTCGGTGTGTATTACAGGTACGCTAAAACTGTGAACAGCATATTCAACGAGGTGCTCTTCGTCCAATTTTTTTGCAGTATATTGGTATTGTGTACAAGCGTGTATTATATGTCGAAGCATATCACAGATTCCGAGGTTATAGGTATTACAGTGTACACCTCTTGTATGTTCGTGCAGATCTTTATTTATTGTTGGTCCGGAAACGAAGTTATGCTCAAGGTGCGAGAAGCTCACTGCTATATTTTCATTTATATGTATTTGCATTTCACAATCCGTAACGACAACTAATCATTTAACCGTTGATTACTTCCATCTTGTCGGGCCAATCACTCTATTTCTGTTCATGTCCTGTTTCGTTCAGAGCATGAACTTGGCGGACGCCGTGTATCACGTAGACTGGTCTTCACTCTCGATCAGCGAGCGCAAAGATTTGCTGATGATCATGAGACGCAGTGCGGTGCCTATAAAGTTCACCAGCTTCTTGATAACACTATCTCTCCAATCCTACGGCAAAGTTAGTGCACTCGAGTGCTGCTATGCGAGACAACCGTTTCTTTTGATACATCTTTCTTTACATACTAATTTTTCTTTCAGATTCTAAAAACGTCGTATTCGGCATTTAGCGTGCTACAACAATCCTGAGACGTCCACTGAGTATTTGTTCGTCTTTCTATCTTATATAGTGGGCTATTTATTAAAGGCTTGTGAAAGTTCGTCGGATTATCTATTTCAGCGTTTCAAAAGAAAAGTCACCTTAGAGACATTGAATCAGACAATTTTGAAACATAAACGAAAAGTGATAAAGAAAATAAAACTTGGAAACTGTGGCGAAAAGTGTTGAATGGTAAATACTTTGATTAAACATGGCATGTACTGTTTTGTTACTATTAATAAAAGATTTTGTGGATGAGTATTCAACGTACTTTTGCAAGCCCTTAATACGCCCAGAATCACAACTGCTTTTAATAAATATAGTAAATGATTATAAGTAAATATATAGTAAATAATATGTTCTATACAGTAAATGATTATAAAATAGTCAGCGATATATCACGCAAGCAACTAAACACAAAAGAGTGTAAAGTGAAAGTGATGGGAAAAGAACAATATGTTGAAACAAATGACACATCTTTCAGTAGAACTACCATGATACAAGATACAAAGATATCTATAATTACACTTACAATGAGAATAAGTATCGGCCATAATTACAAATATCGCGATGTAAGATTATTAACGATCACATCATCAAACGCGGTGTCAAAAAAGTTGAGAAAAGCAGATCGTAAAAAACTCACCGATAGTTTTCCTTTTTATAAAACAATCGTGCAAACGATGTTTATAAAGTGATAAGTCTCATTTGCCCTTGTCGGGGCTCGAACTAGCGAAATCAGTAAGTGCTAACTAAGGTGAGTAGACAAAGAGATGTTAAGATACGAACGCCTTCGGACTAACTAGGATTATTAGTATATAAAGCAACTACTGCATTGTGTTAATCAAAATAGCGATTATTGTAAATTGAAGACGCCTATATGTTTGTGTGTGTGTGTGTGTGTGTACAAAAACGAATATATATTTTAAATTAAATTAGTTAAAACACCAAATAGTTAAGACACCACTCCTGCGTTAATATTTCTCGAGTTACTTTGTGAATTGTAACAAAGAAGAAGTTATGTGCTTCAAGGAAGAAGTTATGTGTTTCTTCCTCGAAAGAGCGTCATTTTACTGGCTGGGAACACGACAGCATGTCGGCAAACATGCCGGACGTAACGTTTCCTCGCAATTATATACTTGACTATACGAATACTGTCATAATTACAACTTTTCCGATAACGACTTAAATATCGATTACGCCGGCAACGGGCGCCGCGACATCGCGCTATTAATTAATGAAACCTTCATTTTGAACACCGGAACACGCGAAGCCAATGCGGTGAGCATTTGTATAGTGTCTCACGAACCACTGTCGCGTGCACTTTGTCGTGTGTTCGTACATTTTTTATTGGTGCGACGCGTAAGTCGTCTTCGCGTGACTCCGTTTCGCGATAGATGCGAACTGTAAGTTGTCTCGTACGGGACCGTGCTGCAAATTACACGTGAGGCGTGTAAACTGAAGAAAATTATTAAGGCTTTCTGACGCGTTCGTAAGTCGCGACGCTCTTCTCGAGTACTTACTCCAATTATTTTCCCGAGAGAAAGAGAGAGAGAGAGAAGTCTTTTTCTGTTCGTGAGAGAAACACATATAATACATCTTAGTCACTCGACGGATCCTCGATTGCATCTCTCAAACACGACAACGGTGACTGCCTACTCGATGCGAACAGGGATGGGAATACATTGTTTCTCATTGTAGAGAGACTGCAGAAATGCAGATACTCCCTCTGAACTTCTTTCTGTATGCTGCCAGCGGTATGTGGCGACCGGTCGAATGGTCTTCGATCGGCTCCACGCTGCTGTACAGCGTGTATACCATCTTTATGTTATATCTCATGTTCTTTCTACTGCTGACTCAATTCCTGGATATCGTCCTTGTTGTTGATAACGTGGAGGACTTCACTACGAACTCTTTACTTTTCATCTCGGTGATCAGCGCGTTCAGCAAGATCATCACTGCCTTGGCTTGTCGCGGCCGTATTGTCAATCTAATTGAAATACTGCAAGGGCCACCCTGCAGGGTCTGCGATCAAGAGGAGATGTATATCCAGGCGAAATTCGATCGTTCAATCAGGTTAGTACGTTGTTATTCGAGTCCATCGTGATGTATACAGAACAAATTAATGTTGATATATCAATAGAATTGGCCATAAATGGAACAGCGCCATAACTGGAGTAAATCTTCTTGATTCAATAGGAATATTAAGTGTTAGAGCATCGTTAGGGCGTACACGAGGTGTATGAAAATTATTCTCAATCTAGAAAGGACATTGATAAGGAATCTCATGGTAAAATAGAAGTATACCCATCGAAACCAAAAAACTTTAATGTATAACATTTTCTCTTAAAAAAAAATATATATTTTTTTTTATAATATTATTAGAATGAGAAACTTTATATAAGTGCTAAGGTTGAACTAATTTCTTTTGGATAAATTTTTGGATAAATAATTATTTTTTGTTTTAATATCATACTATAAAAGATAAACAAAATCTACATGTATCACATATACATATAATAAAGATTACTAATAAGGGTAATTAAGTTTCTACAAGAGGTTTGTTATCTTTTTCTCTATTAAATTTTCAGAGGAAGTCTAGATATTAAAAGGAAAATAAAAATTATTAAATTTTTAAAAAGATGTAGAATCGAAATTGTTTATATTTTATTCGTAGAAATTATAAAAACTAGATTTCAATTATTAATACTGCAATATTCTCGATAGCAATCACTACAAAGTACTACAGTTTTGTTTAATTCTCGGGTAATTTTGTTTTCTATTTCGTTTAACAAACACGACAAACTTTTTCTTACGTCACACATGATTCTGATAATTCAAGCATCAATTTCAATAATATTGCTATTGAATCAAAAAAATTTCATCCATCAATGGCGCAGCTGATAAATTTTACTGATACCACAGAATTTTTTTACAACATACTCTTTCGCCTTGACGTCGACTTCCGGTCATGAAAAATCGGCACATGTGTTTGGAACTGTACGCAGATCGCTCTCCTTAACTTACTTGTTTCTCGCGACGATTTCCTCCGTCGGAGCCTTAGCGGGAGCGGTGCTCGCCATCTTAGAAGGCCAATTACCCTTGAGAGTGTGGGTGCCTTACGATTACAGCTCACCTCTCTTATTCTGGCTCACATCCGCTCAGCTGCTGTTAGCCGTGGTGATCGGTACGATCATCAACATCTCCACCGAGACCTTGGTGTACGGGCTTTGCTTGCAAACGTGTGCGCAACTCGAGATTCTGGCGCACCGTCTCCAAAGGGTGGCGCACTCAAGCGAAGGGGTGGGACCTCGCGAAAGCCCACCGAACGATACGTCGTGGAACAGGACGAACAGATTGTCAAAACACATCTGTCATCACCTGTGTATAATCAGGTTCGTCACGCAGATAGTCAAATTATTTTAAGTACGTATCTCTGCATCGAATCCGTTAAATTACGTTCGGAAAATTGATAATATGTATATATATTTTCGACGAATTATTACTACTATCATTAGTCATCTATTCAGCTCTCTTGATATATTCTAAACATGAAAATAAAATAATATAAGGTAATTGTAATTCAGATTGACTAAGAAAAAATAATCACAGATAGAATATCATGACTTCATATAGTTCAATAAAAGAGAATTATACACGAAGAAAGAAGATTGGTTGAATTAAGATAATAATGATACGACTTTTTACAGATACAACAAGACATTTTGGCTGAAGAAAATAGAATTTTCGGCTCTTAAGAATCAAATTCTTTTCTTAAAAACCAAAGATTTTGTTTGTTTCAACCAAAATGTATTTAGTTGTGTCATTGTCACGTTAATTCCAATCGTTCCAATTGTTCCTCCGTGTATAATAATAGAATTATAACTAATTAGAATATCTCCTTATAAAATTGTCCTTCAATCAGAATTATTACAATATATAATAATTATCACAATATGTGTTATGTCAAACTGGTGTGTCATAGATTTCTAAATCAAAAACGATTAAATCATTACGTGAGCGTTTGAACGCAAAAGAATTAGTCAAAAAAGCATTGACTATTGTAGTTCAACTTTAAACACTGACCATGAATCGTACATGATGCGCAAACGTTTATAGATACGCCGAACAGGTCAACGAGATATACAATCAAGTGTTCTTTACCCAATTTTTCGCCAGTATACTGGTGTTATGTTCGAGCCTATACCATCTATCTTCTCATTTGACATTAGAGGACATCGCGACTATGGCAGCCTACACGTTCTGTATGTTCGTGCAGATTCTCGTTTATTGCTGGGCCGGGAACGAAGTTATGCTTAAGGTAAAACCTCGGCGAGTGTCAGTACCGATTAGCAGAACAACTTGGACAGCTCTCATCAGTTTTATATGCGCAGAGCGCAGGTCTAAGCGACGAGATATATCAAATGGACTGGATACTCATGACGATCAGCGAACGGAAAGATCTACTGATGATCATGAAGCGCAGTACGAGACCCATCAAGTTCACCAGCAGCTTCCTGGTGACGTTATCTCTGAGCTCGTATGGCAATGTCAGTATTAAAATCTCGTCAGTTCTCCGTGAGGTCGCTTCTTGAGCGTCTTGACGCGTGATTTCAATTAAACTTTCTTACTTTCTGTCCTTTGCAGCTACTTAAGGCATCCTACTCTGCGTTTAACGTTTTGCAGCAATCTTAAAAGTTTGTACCCTCGCAACATACCATGTATACAAAGGCTCGTCATAAATAAATCATTCATCACATAGAACGTTGAAGCGCAGCTTTGTGTCTGACACCTTTCAAAAATTCTTACTCGGTCTGTAATGGAAAAAGAGATAAGTGTAGAACTCGACGCGCTATGCGTCCAATATACTCAATTTAATTATATTTAAAAAAATTTATTTAAATATTTAAAATTCAACTCTATGTGCACTATTTTATACTTCAAATTGACGACATAGTAACAAAGGGAAATATCGTGAAACATTCTATTATGTGTGTGTGGAAAACTGTGCACGTTATGATTAATATCAGCACTCGCTCTACTTGGCGAAAACACACCGCCACGGACAAACTGTTTCTGCGGAAAATCTAATTATATGTATGTGTATGTTCAGTCCACAGTATGGAGTTATATTATCTCTCTTTCTACAATTGCTCCTTTAGAAAATAAAAGCCGTACCTTATGAGATATACTATCTTTTTATGGGACATAGCGCGATGATATGCGAGCGCATGAATATTTTATTCGCTAGAAATGCGACGATATACTCGAATGCGAGCGTTCCTTAAGCATCGCTGGTATATCGCTATCATTATACAATTATGGTAGTCGGGTAAAGAACGGTAAGAAAATACATAACAACGATAAAAGAGGAAAGCCGTCGCATATGCCGTAATAAGCAGTAATCGACTTCGCTAAACTGATAAATTAATGATTCGAGTTTAAAAAGGTTAAGGCGGTTGCAAACTTGCGGTAATACGCGTCCATAATTCGTTGCGACACGAATACACGGCTTGCTACATTTCGATTTAAACTTAATTATTTTCGCGATGGTGAAACTACACGCACTCATCTTCGTATCACTTCTTCATTGTGCCGTTAGATCAGAATGTAAGAGACGATACCTCGAGAACGAGACAGACATTTGCGCGCGTTGGATCGAATCTAGTCATGTAGTTCGGTTGTTCTTTCCGTATTACACGTAAAATTAATATTAATATTAAGTAAAATTAAAGAAGATCGCGTAGTCGAAAAATCCAATCCGTTGAAGATGTATGCGACTCTCGATTTAGATGAATGAAACTTGCCCACCTCAGAATAAACGTTTGCATCAATTTGTTAAATGCGAATCGCGCGTGTGCATCATAGAACGTAGTTCGTGGAACGTTTTGACAAATTGTTCTAACGCAATAACGAAGATGCAGATACTTTCACTTAATTTTCGCATATGCAAACTCAGTGGTATATGGCGGCCTCGCGAGTGGTCGTCGTGTTTCGCCAAGCTATTGTACAGCGCGTTCACTGTATGCTCGGTATTCCAGTTGTACTTCATGATGATAACTCAGTTAATGGATCTCGTCCTTGTCGTCGATAACATGGACGATTTCATTAATAATTCTCTATTGTTGGTAAGTGTTATTGTCGTTTCTTGCAAAGCCACAGCCGTTGCGTTACGTCAAAGGGCGATCACCAATTTGACGGAAATGTTACTGAACGACACGTGCAGACCACGCGATGAGGAGGAGTTGGCAATACAAGCGAAATTCGACGAATTTATCCGGTAAGTGTCTCTGACTAATTTCTACACTGAAAAAAGTATTCGAAGACATATTTTTGGAAGATAAAGATTATTTTTCCGTGAATAATACTTATATCTCACCAATAAATTTTCAAGTACCTTTCTGTCAGTGTATGTAATACAGAAAAAAAACAGTTTGTTTATATATTGTAATAAAAAGTAATTATAAATTATTAACAATTTGATTATCAGTTAAACAGTACAGGTAATGGTAATGGTAATCAAATACAACGGTAATGGTAATCGAGTATGAGGTGGTCATAGTATTAAATGTCATTATATGTTTCCTTACATATCGAGACACGAGCGAATTGTTTCATTTTTTTTATTCAGTTTGTCAGTATGAAATATCTATGACTAACTTTACACGGCAACTTAAAACCGGTTTAGTAACTACCGTAGTTAGTAAACTCTTGAATCCGATTGGAATATATTTCTAGATCTAAAAGAATATATCAATCGGAAAGAATATATCAATCGGAATATATCAATGCGAGAGTTTACTAAACACGGTTGTTACTAAACCGGTTTTAAGCTGCCGCGTAAACTTAGTCTATGAAACGTAATCTCAGGTTTTATGCATTCACAGGTCATGCACGATAAAGTACATATTTATGACGACCGTCTCTATGACAAGCATCGTGTTGAGGTCAGTGCTGGATATCATGCACGGCCATTTACCTAACAAAGTGTGGGTGCCTTATGATTTGAATAAATCTCCCTTGTTTCTGATCACGTCGATCAATCAGATCATCGTTGTGATAGTCGGCACTTATATCAACGTCGGCTCAGAAACCTTGATATTCGGTTTTATTTTGCAAACATGCGCCCAGCTGGACATTCTCAAGAGTCGTCTCAATAAATCGGTGATTAAACAAGCGGCCGGCTACCGAGATGATCGGCCGTTCTCGTTATCAAATAAGGGACAGTCGATTATTTCGGAGCACATACGTCATCACATCAACATTTACACGTTAGTCACGTGTACTATATTCGCATTACATTAAGGCCCTTATTTTGTGAATTCTCTTTTATCAATAAAATCATCTCTAAATGTAACTTACAAATCCTCTGATTGCCTTTTAGTCATTTAGAGGCATATTTGTCGATAGAAGAGATTTCAGAATAAGGATCTAAAAATCTTTGAAAGCGAGATATTATATTTCACCCCGAATTATACTCCTCGGTGTGCATTACAGATACGCTAAAACGGTGAACAGCATATTCAACGAGGTGCTTTTTGTCCAATTTTTTGGCAGTATATTGGTGTTGTGTACATGCGTATATTATATGTCGATGCATATCACAGAGTCCAAGGTTATGGGTATTGTGGTGTACACTGCTTGCATGTTTGTGCAGATCTTCATTTTTTGTTGGTCTGGAAACGAAGTTATGATCAAGGTGCGAGAAGTTCACTGGTATACAGAGTGTCCCAGACTCTCCTCCGTATATTTTGAATGTAGAATGTAGAACAAGTTGAGGTGAACATAAAAGTCCTATACCGTTTTGCGAGATTCGCAATAACAGTCGAGATATTAATTAAAGAAGATTGGTGAATGAACACGCGCGATATGGTAGATGAGCTGCAGTGGCGCCGTCTGCCGTTGTATACTTACACATTAGGTCAAACTGAATAAAAAAGTCCCCTACCATTTTGCAAATAACCACAAAGATTTTTAGATATTGATTGAAAAAAATTGTTACATGATTGTGCATAATAATGCATAAATTTTCTTTAATTAATATCTAAAAATCTATGTGGTCATTTGCAAAATGGTAGAGGAATTTTTTGTTCAATTTGACCTAATGTATAAGCATACAACGGCAGACGGCGCCACTGCAGCTCATCTACCATATCGCGCGTGATCATTCACCAATTTTCTTTAATTAATATCTTGAGATTTATTGCGAATATCGCAGAACAGTATGGGACTTTTATTTTCAATCTGTTCTATGTTCCCACAAAATATGCGGAGAAGAGTATGGGACACCCTGTATATGCGTCTATATACATTTCACAATTCGTAATGACGTAAATAATCATTTAACTGTTGACTATCTCCATCTTGTCGGATAGTCACACTATTCCTATTCCTATTCATGTTTTGTTTCGTTCAGAGCGTGAATTTGGCTGACGCCGTGTATCAAGTAGACTGGTGTTTATTATCGAATAGCAATCGTAAAGATCTATTGATGATCATGAGACGCAGCACAGTGCCTATAAAGTTCACCAGTAGCTTTTTGATAACTCTGTCTCTTCAGTCCTACGGCAACGTTAGTATACTTGAGCGTTGCTACACGGCTGTTTTTCTCTTGAGACATTTCTCACGAAATAATACTTTAATTTCTCTTTCAGATTCTGAAAACGTCGTATTCGGCATTTAATGTACTACAATAATCTTGAGATGTTCACTGGTATTCATCTCTCATATCTTACACACGGAGAAAATTTTATCGTAAAAGTTAAAAATAGATTTATCGTAAAAGTTAAAAATAGATTAAAAATAGATTTCTTTTTACAATATTTTTCGTAAAGCTGAACTATATCGATATTGTAATATGAATTACCACTGAAATAGTAAATTTTATGTGTTAGCACATATCAAAAGATGCATCATTAAGAATTACACACAGTTTGTAAAAATTACACCATCGATGAAATAACTTGCTACAAAATTCGAATTGTACATATAACATATGTTTGCATTGCGCAGAGATATATTGCAATGATTCACCGACATGTCAATTAATTTTTGTTGAAATCATTCTAGATTTTAGTAGACAAAAAGATGCGGGATGTACTGTTTTGTTATAATGAATAAAAGAATTATGGCTAAAAGTTCGACGAACTTTAACGAGTTCTCGATACATTCAGAGTGACAATTGCTTTTCCCATACAATAAATAATTATAAAATTCTCGGTGATATATTACGTAAGCAAATGAACACGAGAGAGTGAAAGAGAAAGAGAGGAGGAAGAAAACATTAATTTTAAAGTTTAGTATATGAAAAACATACCATGCGTAGAATTGTCCCTTTCAACGTTCATTATATGGCAGGGAAGCGCGTGGATGCTTAACTCGGAGAACGTACTTCATTCTACTTTATACGTTATTCTTGCTCACTCCCCTTTTCATCCCTTGTATTTACTTGGACTGTAAAGTTCGGACTTCATATCGTTGTCAACGATACAATGTGGAAAATACAATCCCACATTGTATCGCTGACGCTAACGTGAAGATCAATTAACATTTCATTCGGTGGGAACACGGCAGCATGTTCGGATGTAGGGGACGACATCACTTAATTGTCAAGAGTGCGGCGACTTGCCAGATTGTAGTATTCATGAGTGACGAGCGAAGGAACAGCGAGTGCAAGGAAATACGGTAAGAGAAGCCAACAACGCGCATGACTTAAACCACCGTAATTAGCGAACGACGCGTGGGTTTCGCAAATAACTGCAATTAACTGAAATGAAATTACGAACTAAAATAGCCTGAACTATAGAATTACTATAGGAAAGTAGAGCGAGCGAATCTGCATATAGTACGAAAGCGATATGCGATTGAGTGCATTCGGTTACGAATTTGATTATCCTTACGATTTTTCGCGCACGTAATACGTATTGTCTTCGATATATAATTATATCGAATATTAAGAAAATATTAGATATCAGACTCGACAGTTTTAAAATGGAGGAAACTGTGCGATGAATATGCGAATTTGCTTTTCATTTGCTTACGTCTCATAGACACAAATCAGCGCTAAGAAAAATTATTACAAGCTATCACAACATTGTGTGCGCGATCCTAGTGTAATTGGATAAGAGCAACTTTTGTCACAGAAAAAAAGAAAGAGAGGGAGAAAGAAAAAGAGAGAGAAACCACCACGTCTACACTCTGTGAGATGTAAAGGCCCTTCGTGAATTTTGTTCGTTGTGTTGTACGACGACTTCACGAGACATTTTAGCTCAATTCTCATTTAGCGCGAAATTTGCAAAATCGTTGTTTTTGCGTCAAAGTATTCGATTCGCGATAATCAGTCAAGGTGCCTCGTCGGATGCACTCTTTTACGCCCATACTTCGGTAAAGCCTTCACGAGAATGCAGATGCTCACATTAAATTTTGTTATATTGGCAGTGAGTGGCGTGTGGCGGCCAATCGAGTGGTCATCCAGTTGTGCTAAGCTATTGTATACGGCGTATTCCAGTTGTACGATAGTCATGATATTGACTTTAACGATAACCCAATTTATAGATATCGTTCTTGTTGTCGATAATATGGACGATTTCGTTGCTAATGCTCTGTTGTTCGTGGGTATGATCGCCGTTATTTGCAAAATCACAATCGCCATAACCCGTCGAGACATGATCATTGGTTTAGTGCAAACGTTACTGAATGACCCGTGCAAGCCTCGAAATAAAGAGGAAGTGGCCATACAAACGAGATTCAATGAGTTTATCAGGTGTATCTATCTACAATTATTATAATGTTCTCACATTTTATATGTTACGTGATGCACGTGCGCGCGCGCGCGCGTGTGTAAACAAATTCTCCGCACTTTGTCGCATTAATACACATAGATACTTTCTAAGATACTCTGCACTGAGAAAGAAATATTCAATTCTCGTGGCTACACTTGCGAACTTAGGCGTGAAAGTAATTCTTCAAGTAGTAAGCATTATTGTAGTGTTAGTGATAATAATTTTATTTGTACATTGCTGCTGCTACCTTTTGTCAAAACAACAAAAAGAATGTGGTTGGCACAGAAAATGAGTGCGGCCAAATATTTATTTTTCTCAATGTGAAATTATTTTAATACCCAATGTGACAAAATGACAATTAAAACTCTGTTAATAATAAAAATTATTATAGATATCTATAAAACAATAATTAGTACGGACAAAAAGAGCCAAATTACAGTTGTTATGTGTAAATAATTTAATGAAATAAACACTTATAATACGTTTCGACCATTTATCAAATTATTTACACATAACAATTGTGATTTGGCTCTTTATGCCCGTACTAGTTATTGTTTTACAGATTTGATTTACAGAGTTGTTATATTTAGTCTTGTATAGTAGAATATTATATATATGTATTTCTAATAATATGTAATTCTAATAATTGTAATTATTTCTAATAATAATTATAATTACTATTAGAAACAATTATTCTTATTATTCTTATTTATTCTAATTCTTGTCTTTCTTATTAAATATAATTAAACTAATAATAATAAGAATTTATTGTTATTAGTAATTTATTATTTATTATTAGAATTTATTATTAGTAAAATTAATAATGATATTTTGTAACATCAGTATATATTGAAGATAATATTAAATATTATTATTAATATTAAATATTATAAATAATAAATAGAAGATATGTAGATAAATAGATGTGAAGAAATAGAAAATTTTATAAGACATAATGTTAATTTTGCAGGAGATGGTCGATAAGATTTGCTCTCCTGGCGACAGGTTCTGTGACAGGCGTCACAATGAAATCGGTACTGAACATCATGCAAGGTTTCTTACCTTACAGAGTGTGGCTGCCATACAACACGAACGTAACAGTGATATTTTGGATCACTTCCGTTCATCAAATGGTAGCTATAATTCTCGCCACTATCGTAAACGTTGCCACGGAAACTTTGGTTTTTGGTTTCTTTCTGCAAACGTGCGCCCAGCTCGATATTCTCGGAAGTCGTTTTCGCAAATTAAAAACCAATAATGCGACCTATCATCAAAAGGATATTTCACCGTCTTCGAATGCGAAAAAATCAATAATTTCACAACATATACGTCATCATATCAGCATTTACAAGTTAGTTATATATAAATCTGCAAAATTCCAAATCTGATGATTTGTCCAAATTATGAGTAAGTCACCTGTCATACAATAATAATGTGAAAATTGTTACAGCTTTGCTAAAACGGTGAACTTCGTATACAATCAGGTACTTTTCATCCAATTCTCTGTGAGCATATTGGTGCTGTGTACAAGCCTATACTATATCTCGACGCATTTCACGGAGACCGAATCTGCGACTATGCTGGTCTACGTTTTTTGCATGTTTGTCCAAATCTTTTTGTATTGTTGGTCTGGCAACGAAGTTATACTTAAGGTGAAATCACATCCATATTCACATATTTTACAAACCGTTTCTGACATATATTTCGTGCATCCGATAAATCGATTCTCTCAATATACCCTGCTCGCGGTGAACCGGTTTAGCAGAGTGATTCTGTGCAGTCAGATTATATTGGTTGTCGTGTCGTGTTGGCAGAGTATGAACATAGGAGATGCGGCGTATAACATGGACTGGCCTCTGTTATCTATCAGCGAGAAGAAAGATCTACTGATGATCATGAGACGCAGCACTGTTCCCATAAGATTTAGTAGTAGCTTCTTGATAACTCTATCTCTCGAGTCTTACTGCAACGTTAGTAGCACTTGCTCGAACATTCGTTCGTAATGTCACGTGCAATTGTATCGCAATTTCTTTTTTAGATACTGAAGACATCGTACTCGGCGTTTAACGTGTTGCAACAGTCCTGAGATGTAATCTAAGGAATATGTCGTAACAATATTGTGTACTTTCTAATAAATTATAATGCTCAAGATTATATGTTAAAGTTTCCATTTGCGTGTTCTTCACTCAATCGTGTCACTTGTTTGAATTTTTGGAATTGACGTATTCGGTGCGATCTACAAAATGCGTTTCAGGTATTTCATACGTCGATATCTGTCATTTTGAACAAAGGGCGCCTACTTTCTCCATATTACATTTTGGGTCGTTATACAGTGTTGGGTATTAATCGACTGGAACTTTATTGGACTAAAATAATCGGTAAGTCAATAATCGTGATAAATAAATCATCATACATGGTGTTGAAAAAAGTATTCCAAACTTACAGAATAGATATTATTCATTATACTGAGTAAAAAGTGTCTGTTAAACATGAGTCGAACAGCCAACCTTTTCAAAGTTATGAACATTTTTCGACTTTAGTAACGCAAGTTATTTTTTTGTTTCCACTTGATCATACATGGCAAAATTTTTAGTTATAAATTCTAAAAAATTGGCGAATGATAGCGTGTGACATCCGGAGTGGAGTCCTGAGTGAGGCGATGTCTGGATTGCGTTAATTAGCTCCCCACGCGCCATTCTCCTCTAGCCTATCACCGTCTCTAACACAAAGTTACTCTTCTCGAATCGATTAATTTCACCGATCAGTTAAGTTATTCGTGATTATATACACGACGATTGATTAATTTTGATTATTGACTTGTCGATTATTTTAGTGAGAAAAAATTTCAATCAATTAATGCCCGAAATTATGTGAGAGGCCAAGCACCTACGAGACGTCTCTTAAGTCCAATTGTACCAACATTATTTTGGCTATAAGCGAGACACAAACATGTGGATCTATCTTTCTTTCTAAACAAAGGCAGACATGAGTGTATGAAGTTGACACCCCACTTTTTGAAATTTATAATTTTGAAAGTTGTTCCAGATTGTTCTGACTTTGTACTACATTGTTCCAAAGTGATATTGCTTCATTCGAAACGGTTTTCGAACAAAAAAAAATGATTTTTTGAGCTGGCATCTCACTTTTCGAAAATCGAACATTCTGATACCGCAATAGATTGTTCTAGTTGTTTCAAACATTGTTTCAAAAGGACAAATCCATAAGTTGAATTATAAGTCCAAAAAATGAAAAAAATGTTTTTGACCTGGCACCCCATTTTTTTAAAATAAAGCATTCCGATACCGATATAGATTGTTCAAGTTGTTCCAAACATTGTTCCAAAAGCACAAATCAATAAGTTTAATTATAAGCCCGAAAAATTAAAAAAAAGTTTTTTGACAAACAGTCTATCGGACCAAGAGTAAACTTATACTATCTTTCTTGTTCCAACCGAGATCTTTTTGTTCTGAGTTGTTCTAGGCTTAAGAATTATAGTTCTAGAGTATGAGACTCATAAGATCATTCGTTCTCCGAAAATTCGTAAAAAAATCGATTTGACAGTACTCGACGTCAAGAGTAAACACATGCTTCCTTTCTTGTTCCAACTAAGATCTTTTTGTCCTGAGTTATGCTAGGCTTAAGAATTATAGTTTTAGAGTATGAAACTCGTAGCGTCATCCATTCTCCGAAAATTCGAAAAAAAATCGATTTGACAGCACCCGACGTCAAGAGAAAACACAT